AGCAAGTTGAGCTGCAGGGAAAGCAGAACTTACCCTGTAAGTATTCAAATTACCTCTTTAAAATTTTATTGTGATGCCTATTTGCGTTGCTATATATTGTTATTGTTTAGGACAAGGAATCAAAACTGATATATCACACTATCTCTATTGTTCATTTTAATTCAGCAAAATGATACATTTTGATGATATACTAGTCTATTCCTCTGCCATCTATGGAGCTAGCTGCCTTAGAAAATAATTTTTTCCCATTGCTTCCTTCTCTTGATTAATGTATACTGGTTGCGTTAAAGACTGTTTAGTTTTTGTCATTTATTCTGCAAATTTTTTAGAATTTTTTTTTTCCAGATCCTATAGATTTCTACAGCTTTGTGTTATTATCCACCTTAAATTTATTTTCCTCTGAAAACATGCATGCATTCACTTGCCCCAAAAATGGCTTGCGCTTTCAGATTATTTTGAAAGGGGATGAGTGGTTGGCCTTGGCCTTATGGAAATTCCACAACCACCAAGGAGCTTGCTGCTTGCAAAATGATGTTCTTAGGCAAGCCAACGAATTTCAATTTTAAATTCAATTATTGCAGAAGCTCATGTTTTCCATTCTGAAGAATTGGGAAGACTTTTGAAACAAGGAGTGCTTGTGTTCAAATGAGATTTTTCTGTAAGCTGGAACTGGAATGTGGATCATCTCTGTTGAATTAAGCAAGCTTGTAATCTGACTAAATCAAGCTGCAGTTTTACAAGTTTTTTATTTGGGAAAGTAGAACTTACCTTGTAAATATCCAAACTACCTCTTTAAAATTTTATTGTGATGCCTATTTGGTTTGCTATTGTTGTTGTTTAGGACAAGGAATCAAAACTGATATATTAGGCTATCTTTGTAGTATCCAAACTACCTCTTTAAAATTTTATTGTGATGCGTATTTCTAATTTCCCATCCTCTTTTCCAATTCCCAGTTGCTTGTGCAGAGAACATAGCAAAATCTTGTTAGGCCTATGTAGGACCCCTTTGTTTCGTGACTCCCTTTTTCCTTTTATATTTCAGAAGTTATGAGCATACTCTCAATTGTAGGGGTATTGCTTGTAACCCCATTTAATAATTTCATTTGCTAATGAAAAAAAAAATGTCAAGTGCTTGCTCATTTTGATTCTAATTGGTTTTTGTTGTCCTGTATTTGTTTTACCAGCTATTTGTATGACCTTTTTTTTCATCTAAATTTTGATTCCAATGCATGGAGATCAGGTAGATATCAAGAAGTTAGTCTTCCACATGAGTTAGTCTTCCACACGAGTTCCCTTGCTTGCCTCCACTTGCTTGCCTCCACTCCCACTTCTTATTCATCTCACATTTCCCATAATTTTAGTGATTGCTTCCTTACTACTGTCTAGCGTCCAACTTAGTTCATGTTCTAAATCTTAGGGCATCTGATTAAACACTTTACCTTTTTCAAGTCAACTACAGGATTAATTAAAAGGTTGATCCAAGATTACAAGTTCAAGCCTCCCTTTTTAGGCAAGATATTTCTTCAACAAGTAGGTGCTGGATGCTTTGACATTAATGTTGCCTTTCAAGTGGGAGATGATGCATCCAGTATGATGTGTCTGAAATGAATGATCCAACTATGTGTACTGTGTTCTGTCTTTATTCATCCTAAGTCACATCCAAGATTGCAGCACAAACACTGCTGCTTTATCCGCTGCTTTTCTTAACAATGGGCTGACCTGCAAAGTAGCTTCAAGATCTAACAATTTGATGAAAAATGGTGGTGTTCACAAATCTGTCATAGTTGCTGGCTTGCAGCTATAATCTTCTACCCTCCAAAGAATGCCTGCCCTGGTAAGGTAGGGTTCGCTTTCTCATCCCTCAATTGTTTAGAGTGATTCTCTATCATTTCATCAAGATAATGCCAAGCTTTAATTCATTTTTGCAGGCCATGGATTTTCTTTGAGTTTTTCTAGTAACTTCCCTTGATCAATTCCCTAAATCAAGGACAGTTCGAGGATCCATATATAAAGGTGGATGGAGTAAAGCTTCGAGGCAGCATTATAAACAATTCATTTCAAGGTGCATCATCACATTTTAATCCTTTAAGGCGCGCAAATTTTAAAATTTTAGATCGAGTTGTTAGTTGTAGGAGAACTTATTATTAGGCTAATCTAAGCCATGCTTAACTATGTTAACCAACCATTTTAGTTTCTTATTTCTTCAGGATTCTTGTGTTGTATGTATCCATCCATCTGGTGTTGAGAAAACTCTTCATGAACGCATACATTAACTACATAGAACTTGGACTTTGAATGTAACAAGTCAGTGGAGCTTTGAATAACAGCTGGTGGTTGGTTTTGATCAACATTGCAAAAACAGTGCAGAGACTGTGAGAGTGAGTTGCAACAGCAGCAGGAAGGTTAGTAGAGGAGATATGGCTCTACTAGATGATCAACAGTGACTTGGTCTCCAATTCCTCTTGATACACACACTGACCACACTTAATGAGATTTCCAATTTGATTGGAGATTTGGACTTCCAACTTTATTTTGGTGATGATTATGACATTAGTGATCTAACAATTTACTCTTGATGATTTGTTGTTGTGTACAACCTCTAGTGTTTCCTTGAGTAGGTAAAACTTTGTAATAATGCTACTTTTATAGTGGATGTTTTTTACTGGACTAAGCCCTATAGTTTTCATATTAAAAAATCTAGTGTTTTGATTTTATTGGTGTGATAATTTTTGTTCTTGTTAATAGCTTGATTTATTTGTAAGTTTGATTATTTTTTATTTAATTGCACATAGAGAAAAGAATACTAGTTGAATGTGGTATATAGGCAGATTGGTTTTTGATCCATGAATTCCCAAAAGAAAAACTCGCTTTTATCTTCAACCCAAACAAACTTTAGGATTTGCTCCATATTTATACTTCTGAACTAGAACGAGTAAAACAGATAATTGTTCTTCTTCAAAAAAAGAAATGTAAATGATTTGTATCTTGAAAAAGTATTACTCAAAGTTATGAAGGGAATGATTTTTTATATCCTGTGACTATAGTTTTATATATAAGAAATGAAATGTTAACATCATTAGTACATTTACTTCATTTGAATACAGAAGAATACTTCGGAGCTGAAAAGGTCAGGGATAGTATCTGATATCAGTCTAGAACAGCCAGGCTGAATGGTCATTAATTTTCGATCCTTGAAGCGATGTCTGTTGTACATGCATTTAGGGGAACCCATGTAAACCATCGCCCTCTTGAAATCCACAAATCAATCATCTAAGCAAATCATTTCGAAAAGTTGGTCTACGCATTATAATGTTCTAGCTTTCTTATCTTGGCATTAATCTTTCCAGCGGTTGCACAACTGCAGCGCACATTACCTACAAAAGTCAGCACAAGAATATCAGTAGAAGAGCCAACTGTTAGTAACAGCCTTAAGTATGAGCTACCTTGTAATTAGTCTCTGGTATACATTATATTACGAGTGATAGCTAATATCTGAATTTGAAAATGTACTTCTTTCTTTCTTTCTTTTCTTTT